TTTTGATTTATCCATATGTTATAGCGATATGATTAAGGCATCATTTGAGAAATAATCACTATTTATTACGAACGGTCTGTCTTAGTTTAAGAATTAATAGTGAGAAGTACTTGAAAAACATGTATTTTTTAAATACTATTTTATCCCCCCACCCCTCCTGCTTCTGGCGGATCACACGACAAGAAAACACCCAACGTGGCTAGCGACGACAGCACCGCCTACCAGGACGCCGTCCTGGAAAAAAAGACAGAAGGAAAGAAAGCGAGACGCAAATTAGAAAAATAATTAACACAAAATCAAAGCAGGAACTTACTGAAAAAGAAATACAAGAGAGGCCGTTTATGTTGTTGGGTGTGCACGTTACAGTGGTAGTAGCAGATGTTGCAGCGCGGCACATACCAGCAGCATACGGAGGTCGTAGAGCGTTGGCATCTCCGCAGCGTACAAACCGAGTATAAAGAAGTACTTGCCACAACGCAAGGACGATAAGACTGTTTAGGTGCCATGAGGACTCTGGGGAAGTATTGGGTGGACGAGGGAGTGAGGTTAGCAGTGGAAGATGGGTTCCTAGGAAAGGTGAACATTTCGAATTCAAGACGATGGCGATGTCGGTCGCCGGACACCAAATACGAAATAAATGAATGACCTCGATAAGAAGGAGCAGGCTGATAGTAGCAGACTGTAGTCATAGATGGATCGTGCCCGACCACCAACCTCAATGGCTACAGACGCTGAGTTCATTCTGAATTTTGTTCGATCATCAGTTACGTTAACTGCAAAGAGAGAGAGCAGTGTCGCATACTATCGTACACTAACAATATACTGTAGATTATGATTGTTGGTAAAGACTGTGGACACAGGTTAATTTTGCTTATGTCGCTTGAAAGCGAGTATCCGCGAAAGCTCTTCATTGCTAGGTTTTGTGCTTGGAGGAAGAACCGTTATATCTATAAAACTATATCTATATAACTAATATATCAAGCAATTAAGGAAGGCAAACTATTTTTTAGGAGCTGTTATGCACCGGAAGCATCGACACACGAAGATATATACAGTAAAAAATGATCTAATTAATAGGTCACTAGACAAGCCAAACACTATTCAATATGCTGATGACGGTTCGCTTACCATCCCACCATCTTCATCATACCTTATCCCTACCATCTTAAAAAATGGCAGATATCACCCTTAGAGCTGATCAATCACAATGGCTTTTAAAAAAAGCATAATTATCGCTTTTAAAAATTTAAAAAAAAAACAATATTCTACAATGGTGCTTTTAACGATATTAGCTCAACTGAAGCTTAATGAAAAGATATGCCCATTATCTCTTTTAATTAGCTTCCTTCCAACAAAACTAACCAAACAAAAACAGACATTGGTTAAACCCTAGTAATAGAATCGCAATGCATCAGCTAAATTACGCCTCAACTACAAAGTAAGGTATATATATATATATATATATATTCTCGCATTGTGTGGGTATACACCTCTTTAAGTGAAATTTTCTGCCATGACATGATATTAATATCTAGCGGTTCAGTGATCGAAAAGTCAAACGCAGGTCTGATGTACTAAAGTTCCTCTTTTTTCATCGAAACTTGCTCCCAACAGCAGTAAGGTGGACCCCGACCGACAAGACTTCGCTTCCGATCGACTGTGGCCTGTCTCGATAGAGCTAAATATATCCTTAGGCAAACTCCGTTTCAGTCTGACATCGCTGGGACCACAGTTCACACTGCCTAATCGTGTCTCATAAGGTACCTAGCCATCAGTACGGCGGCAGCAACCGAAATAAGTACCGCTGCAGCAGGTGTGCATGTACAACGATTATGCATGGCGAAACAACTGGGCGTCAACTCAATCCAACAGCCCGATATCGTGAGATATTCTAATATATAAAGGCTTCAACTTCTACGCTCGGTACCTACCGTTAAGCATTGTTTCAAACGGTTGGCTCTGCTCCAAACCTGGCTCATCTTAGCTGTTTCTAAGTAGACGCTCCTACATTTAAACATGTAAGCATTGTGTGGGCGTTGCTTTTCCCATAATCGTATACGTTTGTTCGAAGGGAACGAAATAGGATTTGACCTTTCAATTTACCTGTGGCCAAGGTGTTGAGCGTTCAACACCTTGACCACAGGTAAATGGTTTGCATTGATTACAGATTGACCACATGCCAAGCTAAGTTGATGTGTCGAGACAAACGACTGGTCCTTTTTTAACTAGAACATAGTCGACTGGGACGCATTTGTCCTGCCATTTTCGGACTACGATTCCATTTTCCTCACACCAATTGGACAAAATGGAGTAGTTTTGAGAGCTGACTTATAGTGTCTCGTGGGCAAAATCAGACATAGTTAACCTCTTATTTAAGGTTAGGAGAAGATGAAACGTGAAGTTGAAAGCAGACGAGTTTTCTGACTTTAAGCGTTAGCTTATGCAATGGACAATGATCGTATTAACGGTAAAGGTTTCAAAATCTTGGCTGGCCAAATTAGGCGACGCAAACGCTCCACAACAAAGCAACTAAGCAGACGATAGAGGAACGGGAAGAGTGGCTACAGACGCGGTCGGCTAATTGTTTGTAGATTGGCGCTGAGGCCGAATTTAGCAGGCGTTAGCGGGCTAACAGCTAGGACATTACTCCCGAAATTTCATCTGAGGTGGTTTGACCAATGGTCCTTGGACAGGGCCACGATAAAACAGGAGAAGCACATGGTCAAGACAGGAGGGCATACCAGTCGGTGAAGGATCACAAATTCGCTCAACATACGCACATACGAATGTAGCTATTTTCCACATTGCGAGCTTGGCAGCAACAAGTTCTATTGTTCAGCTATCCTTGTGATCGTAGACAGCAGCGTATTGCGGATACTATTCTGTAGATTTTTTAAAAAGTATTTCAACATCACATCATGCGTACTAAACCTGCAAACAGGGAGCAGCATGGTAAACGGGGTTCAATTTTATTACCTATTCAAATTATTTTGAATTTAAGTGAAGTAGCCATAATACCTGGGTACACTGCCTAAATGGGCTTGCCAGATATCGAAGGGTCTTTCCGCGTGCCGCACAAATTGCGTAAGTTAATAAATGGAATATGCGTCTACGTTCCGGCTTGCCATTAAAATTTAACGGCAGACAATCACGTTTCACGAACTAGTGAAAAACATAAGTTTTCTCTGGAAAGTTAGAAAATTAAATAAATTAAGCGTCGTTTAGGGTAATGATCTAATAAAATGTGCTTATACACAGTCGTCCTAGCGGCATGGTCCGTCTACGTTTGTACCGCTATATGTACTCAGCCCAAGATGTACTTTAGGGATAAATTATTTAGGCATGGCTCTAAGTAACTGAAAAATCGAACGTAGTTATTTGACGTATCTCTAGAGCAAGCATACATGTATTATGTATAGTATTGTCTACATACGTCAGAGTTTTACTTCCGAAGCGGTGTAAGGCTTGTATCCGGTAGTGCACGTAGGTCCTGCCGGTCGAAAATCCGCCTGTAATTAATACATGTTAATTGCATGTATATATAGCATGGAACTACGTACGGTACGTAATCGTAGGTATAATTTCCTCTGCACCTAAGCTATGGGTTTCCCCCTAGGGTGGCCTGTCGCGAATTGCCATGTCTATGATGCATTTGGTGTCGCATGCAGTGCCGGTAATGCTTGTACATGATACTCGGCACGAACTGGCCGAGGCTACGTAGTAGTAGCTAAGAACTGAGACGGCATCGTAGCATTAGTCGCCAACCGCTGCATCGTTCAAGTGGCAGCGAGCAGCTATTGTACGCGGGGAACATTATCATGGGGGCGGCCACTTCGACAAGAAGAGAAACAGCTCCAAAAAACTCCCTCCTGAAGCCACCGACTTAGCCTCTTCGTGAAGCCTCTTCGTAGGACGGGGACGAAATTTGTGGACGACAGAGTGTGATCATGTGATCACCAACAGGTTGCTCTCTTGTCGGTGATCGTAGTCATCATTACTAGTCCACTTCGACACGAGGCCAACCAGGGAGAAGATTGTCTGAGCAGATCCAAACGTAGAATCAGGTCCCCGCCGTCGGCCGTCGAAGCGTACCTAAGCCTTCGCAGTGTGTCCGACATTAATTGGAATAGTTAGTCGGTCCGGCAACGTATGTCATCCGCAATCTGTGTTCTATTCTCGAGGCTAGCGAAATAGCCTTATGTCTCAGAGAAGCGCATACATTTCGTTAGACGCTTTTTGAACGACGCGCTATATATGGATGTATCTGTAAGTTTATGACCACGTATCTCCTTGTCCACACAGAGTGCAAAGCTTCACAGGTCTACACGTGTGCATACGTGATCCTAATAGGTACATCACAAAAGAGACTTAATTTGAGGATTCGTCAAAATGCATCTGTATTTGATTTGGCGGTTATCCGAGTGACGACACTAATATGATCAGCCGATTCAGACTAGCTGGTACAATAATCGGAACTTTTAATGGCTTTGTCTAAACGCACGTTGAACAACAATAGGATTGATTTAACGTTAACGATGTCGGAAAGACAGTACGTCATATTTATAACTGAATTTGTTATAATTATAGCACACATAGCCGTATTTGTTTTCCCATGCGCTTTGAGGATTAGTATACGTTTTAACAAAATGGACCAACATGCATTGTAAACCTCTGCACGCACCGCAGATATCTTGGATACACAGTGGATTACAAGAACAAAATAACGCTAGTAAGTAAATTTAATTAAATCTACCAGTATTATTACCAATCACGAAATATGCATTTTTCGAGATTGGTAATAATTTAGGTAATTCACAATATTCCGCGCGCACTTCTCGGAAAGATGTCTTCAATATATGCTCATGAATGTGAGGCAATATAAAAAGATTATGTATGAAGGCCTATATCTAGTATCACATCATATAATAGCGAATCTCCTCTCTATCCAGTAGAGCCATCTGTATTGCAATCAACCAATTCAATAATAAACGTTACACACGAATCTATCATTGTGGCACCTTGTCTGAGTGCCAAGCAAACCTTTTCAAAATATGGTCCTGATTTATGACCGCATATCTTGCTCAGTATTATGTTATCGTGTTCGATATTCAGGCGCAATTACGGCAAACCATTAGAACATATATATTTCATGCTTCAAAATGTTGTATTTGAATTGCTTTCGGTGGTGGCTGAGGTGGGAGCGACGCTGGTAAAGGGTAAACCGCGAGTTCGATTACTTCTGACTAAAAAGGCATCAACTACGCTGTAGCTACGCACATTGAAAGGCTATGAGGACGCGCGTGTGCACTTCACGGTTTTTTGGTAGGATCGCAAAGAACTTTAGAGCTGGAGATCGTTTCATACTTTCGGTATTCGAAGGTCGGCCAAGAAGAATGCACCTAAAGTGAGCAGTCGTCTCATCCTTAAGTTAAGGAAAAGTGCACTTGCCATTTAGTAAGTTTAAATTATCTATTAGTCTCTGTACAAACTGTTTCGGAAACAATATCATTTATTATGGTCTTTTTCAGAAGAACTCGCATTCCCATAATCAGCTAGTACAACAGCCAGGCAGCATCAATGGCATTTTGCCCACCCAGTACATCACTGCATAAAAGAAGCCGCAAATTCAAACATCTGCAAGCTGTTACTATTTTTGGCTAATCAATAGACGATGAGTCATCATTAACGTAAGCAAATTGATTCTAGAACAACGCTTTGCGAGCGCTGGATAAACCATTTGTTCAAAATTCTACTTTCCAAATCAACTGTGAGATTAAGCAACAGTTTGTCCATGACGCGAAATGAATGTCTCCAAAAACCCGACATGAGTTCCTCTATCTAGCTCGTTCTTGTAGGGTCATCATTCACGCCCTCTAGCAGCTATCAAAGATACAACGATTAGAAAGGGAAGGGGGAGGGTATTTGTTGACTACTAGTTGAGGGATAGACGGGGATCAAACGGGGCCGGTGGTAGTCGCTTGTCCTACCGGCAGTAGCGGTAGCAGTCGTAGTAGTGGTCACTTGGTTGAACGATTGCGGCGGATGAGTGATGCGGCCCTTTGATGCGGCGTATACATCACCGCCAAGTGGTCACACGCCCTTAATCGCCCTCGTCGTGAGATGCTTAGGGGCGGCTCTCAGCGTCTGACCAAGCGTTGCCGTGCCGTGACGAGACGAGCCTTAGGGGTTCAACGTGGCCGCACGTCGTATCCATTCATCACGGGTCATGCCGCCGCGGCACTCGACGCTACAGCGATGGTTAAAGCAACTGCAGTGGTGTCTTTTGCAGAGACTTCTGCCAGGGTCCCTGATGTTGGCCCTACGTTCAGCTACGTTGCCTCTCTAGTTCTCCTCTTTTACCGGTGCATTCAACTGCGCACGGGACACGACGGTGGACATTCCCCTTTCTCCAACCTCAAGCGTCCTGTCCACTTGCCGGCCGGCGTGGACACATACCCCGTCGTTGTCGTCATGTAGCAGAACAGTCCGGTGACCGAAACTGGGAAAAGGGTGTGACGTGTTGGGGGGGGGGGGGGGGGGGGGGTAGCCAGACCTGCTCAGGGGAAGAGTTCTTTATGGGCCGCGTACAACTGTGCAGAAGAGGTGAACGACAGGGGACAGGAGGTACATAACGCCGTGCCCCTCCTCATGGCTTTCGGCTTTGTGGTGGACGACACACTCATGGATAGACAGGCTGTCTGTCGAATCTCCGCGTGGTGCGATGTTTGCGATGAGCCAGCGTGCCGCTCGCCCAGGCTGCAATGATTTATAGCGACAAGAGTGCTTAACGCAGCAGCAGCAGCAGCCACTGCCACGTCCTCGAGGGCTGCTGCTCCTACCGCCGCCGCCGCCGCCGCCGTCGTCATCGCCGACATCTACGACGAACTGCGGCGATAACAACAACAGTGTACAATAACAGTGACTGCGACAACAACAACAGCATTACGAACCACAATACTAACATGGACGCGATACGGAAATGCTCGGCAGTTGTTCTTTGTAAAGGGGAGAGAGGTAGGGCGAGAGACAGTTGGAGAGTGTAAGGTTGGCTTACCTGACTGGATTGTGGTGGCCGTGAGCTTAAAGCATTTTCGCCGTCTTTCATCTCCGAACTCTTGTCTACTATAATAACGGCCGGGTTCTCAGATGCCAAACCATTCCCACTTCCAGGTGTCGTGGACGACGGTCCTAATCGCCGTCTGGCTACTCAACCTGCATCTCGGCTGTCGAAGAAGGCACTTGAGCCATCGAAAATGTCGACGACACTTAAGCCAACAAAGAACTATTTCGAGGTGGTGCTGGTGGTGATGTTGTCTTGGCGTCTTGCTTCGATGTTTCGGAACATTTCGAAAGCGTCGTCGTTCAACGGATGAGGCACTTGGGAAGGGAAATGGAGCACAGATATGGGACGTCCTCTAGGGAAGCTGCTACGCCGAAGCTAACTGACTCGAATGCTGTCGACTCAAGACAATGCTTTCCCCCCGTTCCCCCTTTCTTGTGAGATAGCATTAATAGGGAAAGACTGTACACTAGACTCTCTGTTCTCACCTGCCCTTTTGAGCCAGCTGACCCCCCTCAAAACGCTCCGAAGGCGACAAGCTGACCAAAGCGTTGCTCTAAAGAAACCACGCTGCTGCTTTCGCTATGGCCTGTACTCTGTGTAAATGCGTACGGATGTGTCTTTCCGCATGTATGCCATGATGCTTTGTATGCCGGTGTATCTGTGTCTGTCTCGATCTGTGTGTGTATGTGTGTGGCATAGTGTAGGTCGAGAATGTTAATCGTGCTCGAGCGTGCCGCGACCCAATTAAGAACAACACAAGACAAACCTCTTCTATACTTCGTTGCTCCGCTACTGCCCCCTACTATTTGCCCCCCGTGTTCCCCTATCTTCCTGACTATTGCTACTCCTACCTGATTCTATTCGAACAGAAGAGAAAGACCTTCCCCTCCGGAGACAAGAAGCGCCTGAGCTGACTGTATGCACTCTGGGGCTTGAGGCCGAAGAGCCTTCAGCGTCCGTAATGAGTGCAAAAGAGAAGGTTAGGTGGTGTTTCTCTGTCTAGCGCTCTCGTTCAGTCTCTCGAACTCCTGCTTAACGGGCACAGGAGGCCAACGAGTGCGGGGCAGCCGAAAAAGACGACATGACAGGGATATAACTATAGTGGAGTACTTGAGCAGGAGGACGTGGCGGCAGCGCTGGCGTCGGCGGGCGACGCGAGGCGAAGTTATTATTTTTGATGATGATTCCGCGTGAGCAAAACCAATACATCAGCTAGCTCTCTCGGCTAGATCCGAATCGCTAGCCAGCAGCTCAGTCTTTACAAGCGGCCCTTGTCGACATGAAGACGACGAGGCAGCCGAGCGATGAACGAACTCGACGGGATCTGAGTTCTGGTCGGCCACTCTACTAATGTATGTCATAACGACAAGAGGACCACCACTAATGAGGGCTGCGGGCGCTGTGGACCCAACCTGCGTTAACGCCCCCAAATTGGTTACGCATGGCGCCGAGAAAGAATGCAGCGCCACGACTAAGAGCTTGTGTTTGTACAGTTCCCTGTAGCTGCTATATAGTTAGCTGGTGTTTTATTTCAAATCGGGCTTGGCGATTGACAATGAATCGTTCCGTATATCTAGAGAGTCAATTGATCAGTTCGTGTTTCCAGGGATCTGTATTGTAAAGACGTCCCTGATGAGTGGATGGGCTAGTTTTAATGTTGTTGCTTATGCTATCTACTATCCACTAGTGAAAGTGCTATATCTGGTTTGACGAATTTGGTTTCTATTGTTTGAACGTATCTCTATAGTAATAAAAATGTACATTATCTACGGTCCATTTTTCTTACAAGCTTCTTCTGCAAACCAATGCAATTGAAGCCCCACAAAAAATTGACGTTTTGCAATTTCTTCTTTATTATAGTTTATTACGAATAATTCTACTACCTAGATATGAGTCATCGACTTTCCAAAGGTCAGTTCCACTCCGATTTGCGGTATATATGCCGAAAGTTTTGTGCTGCACGGGGTAGCAGAACAAAGCACGTGCGTGCATATACTACGTCGATCCCGTAACCGAGTTCAACGAATAGCACGAAAAATTATCAGTAAAACTACTTGTATTCAAACTTTGATATTCCTGAAAGCAAAAATGATTGTTCATGCTATCACGATAAACTTAAATCCCAGAAATATATGTATGGTACAGCAGATATCATCCTGGATACCGTCGGTGCGATTTGCGTGGAACCGTAACACGCGTCGAGTCGTTATGAAATGGATAAGAGAAAGCGTTGCAAGGAATATTATTTATTTTTATTAGTGCGGATAGAGCTGCCTGCTGCAATTGTACAAAAGTAATGCGGAGCAGTAGCTTATTTCGGGATAGAGTGTCCTGCACTTACGCGACTCGACTCGTGTGGGGTCCGCTGCATTGGATCGAGGAAATGAGAGAATTAGAAAGCGAAATAGCGAGAGGGTAAAATACTGCCTGCGTGTCCTAGAAAGGATATTGTACGCTCAGATAGCATGCTATACGCGTACCAATCGTGGACGACGGCCGTCGAGAGGGTCCAATCGAAGGGAGGCAAATTATTCCGAGATACACTTAAATCCATTAGCATTAATGGCGCCGCTAGCAACAGCGGACCCCTAGCCTGCCGCATCACAATCAGGAACTATGCGATCTCGCACGATAACGACGACAGAAGCTGCAGCGGTATGCTTGAGTTACAACACGCTCATGAAGTAAGCCAGGTAGCATTAGTTGTCTTTTGCTCTTTTGGCCCGCGATGTTTTTCTTTTCAGTCGCGCGTCGCCCGCACCGCCTTTTTTCTTTTCCTTCGTTTTCTCAGTCCTTGCTGTCCCTCTTGATCTCGCTCGCCATATTTGCAGCTATCTCATTCACAATCGTTTGCCCCATACCTTACGCGCCCCCATCTTTCCTCTCCGGTTCTCCTTCTTTTCCTGCTTCTCCAGCTCGCATATTCCTTTTCCTTGCTGTTGCTCTTTTTACCGCTACCGCTGCTGCTGCTACTACAACTACAACATTGTCTTTTGTTTTTGTCTCGTCCTTCACAGCAGTCGTCGATTCGAAAGCATCTCGGTTCTCCCTTTTGTTTCGCTTTGTCTCAGTTTTATCCCTCTCTTGTCTGTCGCATACCGGGCAACAACCGATCGCGTCCATATTGATACAGGTAGTTCAGAGACTGCCTGTCGAAGGAGAACGAAAGGAAGATCGGACAAAACGGGACTCAGTAAAAGCATGAAAAAGGAGAGAGACGAGAATGAGAAGTTCATAATCATCGCACATCTAATAGCATGAAACAGGAAAAAATTTCATTGAGCTCAGACGAGTCAGAAACGAGTGCATTCAATCGAAAGTTTTATTTTTTTTTTTTCAAGATTTTATTATCGTATCTAAATCATTGTTGGAAAAGAAGTACGAAAAAGAAACATAATAAAAGTGAAATACAGTCCACCTACAAAAAGACGAGCTTACAAGAAGAATAATCATATGTTCGTAAGCTTAGTCATTTTGAAAAAGTCGCATTTTGAAAACCGCCCACCCATAACAGCAGCAGCAGCAATGACATGCAGTCCCTTGTTCTATTGGGTTCATATGGTCTCCTCACCCTCCACTAGAATCTGTCTTAATGTCTATAGAGTGGGCCTAAGGTCGACATTGTTGGTGAACATGTGTATGTCATCATATGGGTAATGGAAAGCCACCGGGGGCTCGCGGCCCGTCTACCGCTTTGCGTCGTGTATTACGTCGTGCCGTTTAGCATCCCCTAACCCTAGCGTAGACAAACGAACCGGATGGCGCAGCGAAAGCGGACAGACTGTCAGAGAAACATCAAACTGTAGTCAGCCGAGACGGGTGAGATTAGGACAGGGCATACATTTGTTGGGTAGCCCTTGGTCTATACATGATTAAAAAGCGTGAAACAAGAAGAAACAGCGGACCAGATGCGTTGACGTGCATTACCTAAACCATGGCTTTTCTCACTGTAACGTTACAAGCTAAAGTCATCATTCACACCTTCTTCCTCCCTGGCTGATGTCCCTCCTTCATTGCGACGGCGCACATTCTCTGTGTATCTGTGCAAATATGGACATGTTTGACCATGTGTACGTTTCGCGTTTGTGTGAGCCATGATACTTGAAGGGGGATCCAAAAAGGAGGGGCATAGTTTGTCGTCATCGGCAAGTTTGGTGCTGCTCCGTTCGTTGAGACACATGAATTTATCGTGCTGCCTAGAAGGGAGAATAAGTATAGGTACGTGTGTGCATATATAGGATAGCCTTTTGGTACATAGGCGGATCCACCATGAGGTAGCATCTATCATAGATAAATCAAGCGGCTTATTGCAGGTGGTAGACAAGGAGGACCACGCACCGTCAGTGATGGAGGGAAGACGGTGTCTAGGGGGTTAACAGACTGACATTACGGGATCTCGCGGAGCGGACAAGAATGAGAAAACCCAGAGGAGAAATAGACGCGGTATTATAGGATTATCGTCAGCAATTATTCAGATACGGACCGCTGCCATTTTATAACAGGTGAATAAGTTTGAGTGACCGTGTGAAGCAGACTGGAAATAGTGTTTAGGTAGACAATTTAGCTGAACAGTAAAGCAAGCAAAATGGTAGCCTTGTTTTGATTAATCGTATCATAATTTCGCGAACGGTCGTTCTCATGGCGGCTGTTAATATAATCATGGTTTGTATATGACAATACGTACATGACGTGCAATACATAAAAGGCGGAGTCACCCATTATAGTGTTGTTGGCTGTGGCTGTTACAATGGTGGGGTCTGTTTGAAATTGAGGTCGGTGAGCGTACTTCGCTGTTAACACACACTCGAAAAATTAATACCATTAACAACACCACTGGCAGTACTTCGGCACACACGTGTAATATCAGGTAACATCAATGGGCCATATTGCCATAGACGATGGATAAAAGAGCGTGAGCATTTTTTTTCTATATCCACCTGCTATATAATAAACAATTGCCGATCGCGTAAATCTAATTAATTAGTTAAACTTTTGATTTTATAGATAGATAGATAGATAGATAGATAGATGGATTTTATAGATACAAATGTATTCTAATACATATGCATATGGATATTATGAAGTTGTATATTTTAATACAACTAGGCGTAAGCTAGCTAATGTGTTGGTGAGCTTCGCTTTGCTCAAATCAAAAGGTCTAACCTCGACAACCGTCTATGCTAAATGTTTAATTGGAGGCATTTGTCAGAGACTGTCTTTTACGGTGCAGAGGAATGATTTTCAAAAACATACATGTGACGCAAATTCAAATTTATAATAGTTCGACAGCGTGAAATGTGGTCAGTCTGCCTCTGATAATCTTGACCTTTGTTTCTTTCAAGCTTAAGCTCTACAATAAAGTTACTATCGTAACACTTTCCGTAACAAACGTTTCCTTTTCTGGTAGGCGTCGAGGTAAAAATCAATGCTTTTTCATCCCTCTTCATAGTTTTTCTTTAAAGGGCGTTTACTGAGGGCCTTTTGCAAGTGCGAAATTAATGAGTAAATACACCTGGGACCGAATGATACATAGACACCCAGCGTAGTGTCGGACCGAACTCCGGCGACTGGATTTGATTCTACCGAGATTAATACCGATTAACGCACGTTCTACCTTAAGTTTCACTCTCTGCCAGCCTAGCGCCTTTTTTTAAATAGTACTGCAGAGTAATAGAAGAAATGGTAGGTTGTTACGGATCAATTGGTCATCTCCGGGGCCTAGTTCGCTCAGCATTATGGATCCATAACTTATTAATGTTTTACCGTTGTTTACAGAACTAACTCACAACAAAGATTTTAGAATTGAACATGCAATTCTCGTTGTCTATTTTGAAAAATGCAACGAATGTATCTGGGTCGCATGGAACTGGCAAAATAAACGAAGTCTCATCAAGAAGCGCACATGCCCCTTCAGCCGTTTGTGCTTGCCCTCGCAAATGGCTGCCCGTCCTCATCCCATTGGTCAGAGGGAGAGTTGCACATCGACACCTTTATAGCGAAGCGAATGAAGCTTACGAGGCTCCTCTTTGCCTCTAGACAAAGGCGGAATACCACGAAACGTTTCTGAGCCGAGTAGTAGAGCGGCTAGCTAGGAATTCCGTCCAACCGGTCGGCAGCGATGCCACCGTGGGCGCAGATGGAAAAGTGTGATTTTCTATGCCATTGGGGCCACTTAGGAGCACCGGAGGCGAGCGGCTGGGCGACTGAAACGTTACGCATGCGAACGCGATGCAAAGCTCAAGTAAGGCAACTGGAAGGGACAAACGAGAAGCAGGTACCGCCAGGCCTAGCGGGATAGCAAAGGAGGTTAGGGGAATAGTGGTTCTTGAGGGCCATGAAGTCTGTGAGCCTGTTTAAGCTGAGAGAGCCGCTGCTGCTGCCCGTTATCCTGTTGGAAGCAGAAACGGCCAAGGCTGGACGCAACGTGAGAGTGGCTAGAGAAACAGAAGAAGGGGGTAACAGTGAATGAGCCAGCGGAACTGGCATAGGGGCGTTTGAGAGGTGGGTCCCTCGCGTGGAACTACAGGCGGGTGAAAAAGGGGCGGTGGCGGTAACTGGGGCTCGGTGAACACTATGTTCGGGCAGAAGGGGAATCGGGACGCACAGGGGAGCACTCAAATGGCAGATATGAGCTGTTTGCTACTAAAAACCGTTGGCCATGCGTGAAATGCAGTTAAATTTTTTGAGCTCCTGCGTCGAGTAGCGGCGCAAAGTGGCGATGGTGTGGCCGTATGCTACCACTACTGTTGCTGCTGCTGCTGCTGCTAGCTGTACGAAAAGATGACTTGGGAACTGGGAACCGAACGCGCAGTTTGTCGCTTTGGTCGCCACCGTGGCCGTAGTCTCAGAGGCGAAATATATCAACGCGGACACTCTGGACATGCAACGGAAGCGGCGGGAATGACAGTAGTGATATTGGCTCACTAAGCGAACCACGGTTGGTGGGTATCCGAAAGGGGATGGACGAAATGCTCGACGCCACTATGCTTGCGGGGGAAACCAGAACGGGCCTGCTGGGGGCAGAGACACGGAACAACGTGGCTGTGAGAGGCTGTAAGGAAGATGGCAGCGGCGACGACAACAAAAAGGGCAGAGCTCATTCAAACTTGCAGCGGCCTGTCGTCATTCGGTCCTCCGCTCTTCGCCGTCTAAGGCCCTGAGGGACGCCTCTACTAGCTGATACCGGTGTAGATACACATGCGCATGTATATGCTCACGCATGCTTACTCACATACTCACACGTGTACACACAGGGTATACATATATACATTCAAGAGGAGTATGAGACAAAGTCGGCGCTGCTCATGCTTCTATATGTGCACTGTATAAGCGACGATATCCGCAGCATAGGACCATTCGGCGGGGCAACTAACCGAGCGGCCCAGCTGGTAGCATAAGATGCAAATGCTTATTAACTACTGCATAGCACTATGTACATATAAGCAAGCTTCATCTGCCAATCTCTGGCGGGAGTCGACTTCGGCGTCCGCCAGTACAGCGGAGCTACAAATGGTCATTCACTCGCCCGCACTCCCGTTTAGCCGGCAGCGTATCTGCGATTATACGGAGACAAATAAAATTAAACCTTATGTCCGTCCGAAATCGACCGAGACGACAAAAGTGCCACTTGCGCCAAAATTGACTACGTAACCCAGCAACTGCCTTGCTGCTTGTCTACTCAGTCCGTAGGTCGGACAGTTGGTTGGCAGAAAGACAGGAAAAGGGCCTGTGTGGCAACACGCGAAGGCTTTAGCCTTAACAGTAGTCACGGCCATCGGTGTCTCGTAGCTGCTGCTGCTGTTGTTGTTGTTGTCGCCGCTTGTCCCTCGATGTCATGGGCCATCGCCGAGAGGGCAACTTTAAATTTGAGTTTTGTTAGTCCTCACTGCACAGGCCAGAGGGCTTCGAGTGGGTGACAACGCTAAGGAATAGAGAAGAAACGCTTCAGAGGAAAGTCTAGCAGGATATAAGTATGTTCGCGCCTCCAAAATGGAAAAGGCACGGCAGAAGATAGCAAACTCTCTGAAATGCTCCCACTTCCCATTTCGCCGGGCTCGACTTTGCCATTTCCAAACCCTGTAGTCATCGTTGTCGTCGTTGTAGCAGCAGGAAAAAGAGATATGACCGGGGTACTGCGACATATCTTGTTGGTTTGCTTCTTTCTACTCAGAGCAAATCTCGAGGTTGTTCGTTGTGAACCGTTTGATAGCTAGGGAACCGCTTGAAAACGTTTGTGATACGTTGAAGCAATACAAGGAAGCTGTTGGCCGCTGTTGCTACAAAAGATGAATATTTCGAATGGTCGCTGGTGGCGCGTCGGTCCAATCATGGCGGCACTCAGAGTCGGCGGGATCGTTGGTCGGAAGTCGCGTTCTGAGCGGCGGGCAGACGGCCACTCCAGCAGTCGAGCAGCACGAATTAAAGGAAGCCTCTCGCTTTTCCCTTCGAGTCTAACTGAGAGATCTTACTATTTCTTCGTTCATGGTCGAAGAGAGATCTGTGTACCGCCGCGGGCAAGTGCCCGAGCGGAAAACAGACCAAGACACGAATACGACGAGCATAGGACGTCTCGCACTGTTGCAAGGATTCAAACCAGATACCAAGATAGAAGTGGAACAGAGCGGAAAGAAACTAGCGACTGAGCTTGTGCTCCGCCGCTTTTACCTGCCATATCTCACTGTATAGTCGCCTGGTGCTAAGAAGATGAAAACGACCGAGTAAAAGAAAAATAGAAGGATCGACGTAAATCGAGTCAACGAAAGACAGACAATTCGAACTCCCGCCGCTCTTCAACGACAACCGCAAGCGGCTACAAAAGGCACATAAACGACGTACATCGTAGCAAGCAGTTACGTGATAAAACATCAAAATTAGATACATTTCGCTGATATAACCACCCTAGGAGATAGACACGATAACTCAAATGATATTCCCACCTATGCTAAATCTGTGGCATTCTTGGACCCGGTTGAAGTAAGGAAATGTTTTGCTTGGGTCGGGTCGAGTTTGGGTGCGAAAGCCGTGCTATGTTGCCTAGCAATTTGACCGATAATGAAAACGAGACATCAAAGTGGTAAATACTCTAAACAAGATCAACAGTGAAAGATCGACTGTTTTTAATTGTATTTGTAAATCGAATTTCCCAACGTCTATCTCCAACAATGTTTTTTTCTCACTCATGAAAAACTGCAACTAAGTCCCACCATACATGTTTGTACAAATCCATAAGATAATTTATAGGGAAAAAAAGCCGATCCTCGACTAGCTGCCCACTAGTGACTTTAAGGATTTTGCCAGCGTTCAGATCTTATCCTTTCGTAGTAGATTCGGAGATTGCTACAGGTTGGCGAAAAAGTCGATAAGCGTATGGCGGTGGGGCGGTTTGCTGCAAAGCTTTATTTGCGCACTTTTGTAACACACGCTCTTTTTCTTCATCCTTCACTTGTTCCCTCTCTGTTTCGTTTTCTCTCACTTGTACTACAAACGTATCTGTGTAGAAAATCAGAGTAGTGTTTAGGGTTCCTTCGGTGAGCTCCGTTTATTCGCTGATCTGAAATTTCATCGAGCTGCCAGCTCTCTCTTGTTATCAGCGCCAGTGACGTATACTGTTAATTGCCGGCGGGCTTCAGCTAGCACCTTTGTGCCGCCCATCGCATTTCGCACGCAGGCACATATAGACTCGTACATCCATCCCCATATACAAGCGTGTGCCTATGCTGTATCTGGCGAATAGTGTGTTAGGTGGTCGGGGTCATCCTATCGCGGCCTATAAATTCTCACTCGCTGAACTTTGAAACAGCAGCGTACGTTGGTACCACTATCATCGCCGTCGTCGTTGCCGCTGGCTAAAGGGTACTGGCTGTGTTGTCCACTGTACTCGGGTAGCTGTGATTACGGACGCTGATATCTGAAGAGATATAGCCCAATTATTCAGAGGATAAATGACGCGCATTAGACCGGTAGTCTACCGGTCTAATTTTTAACCAGAGAGCGAGTTAGTTGGCGGATGGGGTTTTCGTTCCCCGCATTTACAATGTCAGTCGTTGCTGTCTGTTGCCGCTCTATTCTATCGCAGCTCTATTAAATTATTACATTGGTTCAGTCACAGATTATCGTCGGGTTTGCAACTACAACTGCAGGTGGTTTGTGGCCTTAAATAGTCGGGCATGAACTGTAACTGCTTGGTTAGAAGTTCTGCTTGTGAATTGATGACTGACCATTTTTCTCAGGATAAAAATTATTTCTGGAAGAAGTGTTATAGGTTTGTTTTAAAATTCGACATTTTTTTTTTACTGTTTATTTAGTTTCAAAGCTAGATCTACTCGTATTGGTCAGTTTGATCGCTTTTACCAGAATAGGAACTGCTGAGTAAGAAATTTCGGTAGGTTAAACGTTAAATTAACCAAGATATTAGATGGAATATTGCATGAAACAACTAGGGATCAGACACGATGTCCTGAAATCACTTGAACCTGTCCTTGTCCTGAAACGTAACTCTTTAGCGATGATGCTAACTGTTCTTAAATCAATTCAGTAATTTTTATGCTTTCGCCTGTTATCAAAATGAAGTACTGTAAAACGCCATATATTTCTTCGGTAACATTTACAACCAGCGATGTGTGTCTGTTGTATTGTCGTATGCTGATGTTGAAGCTCTGCTGTAACTGTTTGTTCTCGAAGATAGTTTTCCATATCCGGCTAACGAAAACTAAAAATATTGGGAACACATATAATTGTCCGACATTGAATAAATTAGAAAATAGTTCTGTTTGTACCATATACACGTATATGCGAAAGTACGTACTTTCGCATATACGTAAAGCTTAGCTCGACTCGGGCGCATGAAACACTTGTTGGTAGAATCTGTCTTGAACGATCTAGCGTATGAATAGTGCTTAGTTTATACGCACCACTTCAGCCATATGCGAGTACCAGCACTATACAAGTGAAACTATTGCTGTGTAGCGAGGGAACGAAGACGGCAGGTCAACAACTCCTGCTCGCACGCACATCCTATCTTGGTCGAGCGATGTGGTCGCGGGAGTCTATCGTTGCCGGCACCCGCCACTCTTGGGGGCGACGTGATAGCTTCAAAAACAGGCGAAAGTGACACCGTCGGCCGATACAGAAAGCGGACGACAACTTCTTGCTAGTCGGACGCATGCAGCCATCTATTCCCTCGGCGTAACCAATACTGGATCTGGTAGGGAAAAGACAGGAAAGCAGCAAGAGACGGAAAACAAAAGTCGCAACTTCGGGGATAGCGAAAAACAAGAAGACCATTGTTTGCCAAGTACAGTCTTCCCTGTCCCGTTACTGCTGGCCACTTCACAGACACACTCATAGACTTGCATAGAACGCGCACACTGTGACAGCTTTAGGGAAGCGAAGCTGCTTCAGTCTTCCATCACTGGCGGCGGCGTCGTCGTCGTCGTCGGCGACTGTCGTCTGCTTCAGCCCAACGTCCCTCCAACCTTTTACGGCCCCTTGGCCCTCATCCCCCTATCCTACCTTACACTGGGCCCATGTATACTCTATTCCACAATGTTGGGAGACCTTCACTGCCTTCGAACGGCGTCTCCAAGCTTTGCCCCACTTCTATTTCTCGCTCTTTTTCTCTTCTTGTCTACTACTCCAGCTCACGCCAGTAGTACGACCCTGCTGCTGCCACTGCCGTCGGCGCTGTCACAGCTCGCCGGTCCACCGAGCGATCCCAAGCGCAAACACCCGATAGGCGACAATTTATGTTACTCCGAGTGGCGGTAACGACTTGCGGAGGCAAGGCGAATAGAAGAGGAGCTACGAGAGCGACCAGCGTCGCACGGCGGTGGCGACAGGCGCTCGTACCGCAGAGTAGCGACACGAGGCCACCACTGTTCTGTGTAGGCCAAAAAGTGTAGCAAGCGGCGCGGTGAGACATGCGAGTTTCGGGCACGCTCACAACGACTTGTTGGGCTCTTGCTCTCAGTTACTCATTAAAACTTGGCCTAAAAACGATCAACTGCACAGGCTAACCTAGACGATTGCAGTGACCGGTCTACCTTGTCTGCGCGTGCTGCTTACAATATACCACAGCAGGAAAGGCCTACACGAAAGATGCCAATAGTTGCAGCAGAAGCGACGCTGCTTGTAACCGCAACAACAGCAGTTAAGAACAGACTTCAGGCCAGTAGCGGCAAAATGGGACCAATAGGCTGCAAGCAGTGAACGGCAAACTCAACGCTTGATGTGTCCGCAAAGCGCGGCCTGCGCACAACTGGCCCAAACAAGTACAGACCGAAGCGAAGCTTCTTATATACCGACTAATGAATTAAGCTACCATTGTTCGCACAACGGCAAGCGAGCTGCCGCGAACGACGCCGCGGCCCGGGAGTAAGCATCAGAATGAATAGCAGCTTCGGAAACATATGTGCACAGAAGGCACAAGCGACGGCAAACAGCGGAACGACGGAAAGGGAACTCAGACGGGATGGTCTTTTGGTCAGTGGGAAATGACGAATCTTTTGCACTGTACGACGGCCATCTCACAATCAAGCGTCCCGCATCTCATAAATACTGTGTGAGGCGAGCGGCGGTCTAGGAAAACAAAATTATATACCTCACAACTACCATCTAAGCACAACGACGTTTTTCCTCGCTCACGCGTGGAACACACAGCAGGCGGCTGGCGTTAGGATTGTCGGCACTGCGGAAAGTTTTACTTGCAGTCAGTATGCGTACGTCGATGAGACCATATTTAGCCGATGCCGTTACGCTGTACAGGCATCGGATCGAATCTTATTCGAGGGGTCCGGTGGCTATTTTTTGCTTCTTGTATACGATAAACTTATTCAGCATGAAACCTGGTTGGTTCACTGTGGTAATTGTATGCGCAGCTTATGAAAGCTGTTCGTACCACTTGACCATTGTGGTAAAGATCATTCATGGTCAGACAGATTTCAGAGAAGAGCCAAGCCAGATAGGTACGGGTACGCTTCCGTTGCGGAAAATTTGGGATTATTTTATAAAGATCGAACATGTTTTGTTAGCATTGTAAGGTGCTGCATAATTATTTTAAACTCTATAGAACTGGACGAATCTGATATTACTTTAGTATAATAATGCTAGGTACATTCTAGTGCGAGCAGTTGATCCCGTATTCGACTTAACCTCCTACCGAACCTCGAACACGTTACCTAGGATACATACATTAGAGTTTTCTTCAACTGCAGACGTTTGGAGACGGATGTATTTATTGTTTAGATACAGCGATTAGCGAAGATCGACGACGATTAGTCTGTCATCGTTATCCGTCTGTACTCCAGATTAGAATAACTTCGATTTTATTAAACGGTCGATACTATAGAAAGATCATGAAAGAAGTGTCGTATGTGTTACCGCGTGATATTTTATATACAGTGAAATGAGAAATTATTCAAAGAAAAAAAACATTGTTAATATCAAAAATAAAAGAACAACGTATATACAAAATTTTCTTAAAAACGTTAGTACATTCTCAATGATTGCGCAAGTCTACGGCGAAATATTTCATTAAGGTTGCTTCCGCTCTCAAGAATACATACTCGTATCGTCACATTTATAAGAAAGCTAAGGCTAAAGTGAGACAATTTAAAGCTACCGCTTCTCAAGGACGTAATATGAAAATCCGCAAGCGCCTTAAGCATATATTCGATTTTTGCGTTATTTTCTGTTGATTTTTATTTTCAAATAAAAATCGCTATTTGAGTGTGTGTTCGCAGTATAAGAAATGAAAATGAATAGTAAAAAAAAGACTGCTTTTCTAATGATCGAACTTTGGCTTACTTTTCATATATCTTCACATCTTTTTAGCATCATCTGTGCGTTCAATGTCAGAGAAATTATCGCAGAACGTACCTGAAAATCGAAAGGACCTATGGAGAATGTTGGCAATAAAGGAGCTGCCCAAGGATAGTGTTTATTCATGCTTAGCGTAGAGCTTCCTCTGACAGGGATATCACGGTTGGATTTTTACTTTCAGCGGTGCCCCTAGATAGTACGAGTTGGCTAGATGTAGCAGCTTTCAGACGTGGTAGGTAAAGCGAAAGGCAAGATACGAATTGTAGTCGTCTTATGAATGCAGACACCCGCGTGAATTCAAACGATAGGGCATGATATTTTCGCCGAACTTCTCTCGAAAATTTGCGATTTTTTAGTTACGAATATACACAATAAGCGAGAATTTGGGAACAGTGAACTCACGATTCGTTTCCCTGTATACAGGAAATTGAGTGATATCGAATCCGCCAAAGTCCGTTCGAAGCCACAACGACGACGACGACGACTCAATAAACTCTGCATCTACGAACGGATATCTGAAGACGTTTCCTAGCTAGCGTACCGCAAATATTCTTTGAGAAGCATACAACTATATCGAAGCTACGAAGGTGGCACCATTATTCACAGGTGGAGGATAGTTGCAGATATCATGGGTTGAAGTGTCAAGCGAGCGAGCGAGCGTGAATCTAGACAGGCCCAACTCAGGACTAATAGCAGGGAGGCCATCACCTGTAAGCTACAACAGCAAACGTACAGGACTTTCTATGGGTGATTTTTGCCAAGGACCTACAACACACGATGGAAAATGGAACTCAGTGGCGGAATTTGCGAGAGAGGTGTCGGCGCTTGTATCCAGCGTCAAGTTCACGTGGAACACGATTACGTACGAGCTTAATTACTACCTGGATGGTGAGATTCGGGTCGCGATTGCCTGGTCCTAGAAATATTGCTTTTGCCAGTTTGTGTAAAGCAGCCCTGAAGATCTGGATAGGACAAAATTTTATTCTGCTTGACTATTTCCAAGACGGTGCGTCATGTGGAAATACTTCGTTCGAAAATTTTGCATTTATATGTAGGCTATTTACGTATATTACGATGTCACGTATAAATGTGTTTGCGGAAACGATAATGACACATGAATTGAAACTCCAGAAGCACTATTTGACTGCTTTTTTTTCAGTTACGCATTGGCAACGTTCATGGATCCCGCTAGCCTGCTATTAATGAAATATAATTAGTTGAGTCGGAGTGTTTAGTCAACGCTCGTTAGATCATATACGCCATGGCACAAAAACAGATGACGAAACTATATCATGACCTCTGTATATGATATGCTGGTATGCACTAGCAAAATCTATCAGCGCACTATGACCTGCCATGTTGCCTATTACCTGCAAAGCTTCTGTCTAATTCTGTTCTGCATCGTCATCTCACAGCAACGGTGGCACTTTAGCTCTTATTCATTGAAGGCTTTTCGTTTGCCAACGGACGCGAAGCTTTGATAGCTCTGGCATCGGCTTGGCCACACCTTTCCCTCACCTCTCTCATTCCCCCTTTCCTCGATTCTTCTTCTTCTTCCTATTTTATCTGTTGGGTGAGGGTCTAAGCCTATGTACGTCTCTACGTATAGATATCTGCAAGAGTGGTAAGCGAACACTTATAGGTGTGAGGTGCCATTTGAGCGCACTGCTTTTCGCTTTCCTCGCAACATGCGCCACGCGCCATTCCGCTCAACGTTGGATACAAAGACTACTAAAGCAGTAGCCGCGGGGACCTCATGGGCAACGAAATTGGGACGAATGGGAAAGTCAGGAAGAATCCGAGCGAGACAATGAACGAAAGAGAATATCTGTGCTCCGAGGAAAGTACTTTCGATGCTGCTGTTACTGATGTAGGGCAACTCCGTTCCTTCGTTGCCTGAGTGGCCGACCCACCTCGCTTCGACGCCTGTCCGCCCCTGACATCCTTGAGACAAGCGGCGGCGGCGGCGGCGGCGGCGGCGGCCACGACCACACTCCCCCAGGGCATCATCCCACGGACATCCTTCTGTTCCCATACAGACCCTACATAGTTCTATCTTGTTCTATGAGAAGGCTTCTATAAGAGAAGAAGAAGAGGAGTTAGATCGGGGTTAGATTGTGAGGTTAGTAGTACGGGGGCCATGCATGGGGTGGGTACACGGGGTGTGAAGATGCGGGCTTGTAGAAATTGGGACTAGATATGGGGAAGGGGTAGAGCAAGAGAAGACGATGGGGCAAATCTGCGGCATATCTGTCTGTAAGTGAATAGCCATTGATTCCTACTATTACTGCTTCCACAACCGTCATAAAGTGGCATCAGCAAACGCGTTGGCAGCCTAGACATTTGGCCGCCAACATAGCGTCGACAGGGGCATTCTGACCACAGCGCATCATAGCAGCCCTTCGGCTGGTGATCGCATGAGAATTCCAAAGTGCATCCGGATATCAACCCACCTTTAGGCTGCCTGTTCAATCTTCGCCAGACTATTGCCTTCTTGCCGCATTAGTCGTTCTCCTTGACAGCAAGAAACAGACGGTCACACCTCTTTATGCGTTTACTATACAAGACCAAACTTGCTCTTGCTTCTTTCTGAACAACCCTAAACGGTGCGCGACGAAAGGGAAAACACAGGCTTGATGTACTTCAATTGCAATGTCCTTAGTTATGACAGAAAAAAAAAAGCAAAAAGAATACTTACACTTACACGAACAACAAAAGAAAATATTTTTGAACAATAATAGAAAAAAGCACGTCGGCAGGACTGTACAGGCGGGAGCAGAATCGTTCCTTAAGGCATCAGAAAGATAGGACACAGATCAGTTTTATCGTCCGTGTTCGCATATAACGCGTTCAACATGCTCTAATAATCATTACGTTCTTATACAGTAACAGCTTCTTATAGGCAGGCTACGTAACATTGTTACGACTGCTCTTGAGAGAAATTCAAATTGCGCACATCTATAAGAAATGTTCCTTTGAAGAAATTACCATGATTTTTGGACGGGAAAAAAATCAACCTTACCTACCGTTCGATTTTCGACTGTTAAGCATTTGAAAAGTTTAAATACGATACATCTAGTTAGTGAAAGTTAATAACAATAATTATTGTTTTCGATACTCCAGAATCATGAGTCTAACTATAAAATATTTGACTTATTTCGTACACTTCTGTGACAATGATATCGCTCAATACATTGCGGTAACAGAGAACGTACGTGTTTCAATGGGATCGTGATATCTTGAAAATCTATTTGAGGAACGTGCAAAGATTTTTGCAAATCGAAGATATAAGATCCCTACTTGAGTGGCATCGTATTGAGTGGTGTTTGCTGTGTGCAGTATCAGGGATCGTAGAACGTGGCGGTCCCAGGAGTAGCGTTCTGGGCCGGTTTCTTGTTTTACACAAACAAGATTACGAAACCGACAGATAAAGCT